CGGGCGGTTCTGGCGGGTTGGCCCCCCTGGGGGCCCCCCCCCCTCCCCTCCCCTCGCCCCCGTTCCTCACCGTCACTCACCCTCTAGTGTCTTCCACTGTGTCGTCAATATGTCTGTGGAGGTTTTTGTCCAATCACTGATCCAGGAACTTCCATCAGGACAAAGAAGAAGCGTTTGCACCAAATTGGACATAAAGGAAGCATGAAGTGAAGCCAATCTGTGTGTGTGTGTGTGAGTGTGTGTGAGTGTGTGTGTGTGTGTGTGTGTGTGTGTGAGAGAGAGAGACAGTATATAAACCTGACGTCCAGTCAGGTCGAACAGACAGAGGGAAACAACGAACGACTGAACAGCAGAGGAGACGTGAACCACAGCGACACTCAGCGACACTCAGGTGAACTGCTGTCATTGACCCTTTACATTATTTTATTTGTTTCTTCTTGTTAAACAGGGGTCCACGCCCCCCGGCGGCCGCTGAAGGTAGTACAGGTTTGTTATTTTAAATTGACTTTTCACAAGTTTAAGTGAAACCGTGAATATATTTGTGTATTATTTTTAACAGTTTAACATGAAAAAATAAATATAATTATATACACACAACATCTGTTGTGTTTTTAGATATATTTAACCAGGCCCAGTTTAATATAATACTGTTTTTTTACAGTTTACACAGTAGGGGGCACTGTTCCATCCGTACATCAGTCTAAGGTTTTAGGTCATTGTTTTGTTCTGATGTTAAAATAGAACAGCAGACAGAGAAGCACTGGAACTGTTTGTGTGATTTAGACTGGTCCAAAATGTGCCAGGAACCAACACCAGTTTATACTAATTTAATAATGCGTGTGTGATTGGTCAGCAGGAGGATGAGTCCTGTTTGGTTATTGGTGGCTGTAACACTTTTGGGTGTGGCCACAGGAAATCCAACTCATCAGTGCTGGAGTCATCCAAGCTGTGAGGAAATCAACAATGAGAGCAGCATGATGGTAACACACACACACACACACACACAACAACACACGACAACCAATAAGAAAAGACTGAGGTCATTACAGTCAGGTTAAGTCTGTAGTGTTTGTCTCCTGACCTTTGACCTGCTCAGACCAAAATCACTGGTTTTCTCTATGGACTT